GGTTGAGCCTTTAGTCTAGTGATTGGCCCTTAATCTCCCTTTTCCCATTTGAAATTTAAAAATGACTTTATCATTGTGTGTTTTACAAAGCCCTGTATATCTAAAAAATGTCGAGTTTTTGCTCTTGTCATCTTCATCATGGCACAACGCGTGTGTGCTGAAGATTATGACGTGAACATGAAAATATGCTTTTGTAATAAAACTGTCAGAAATAAAAATGAAAACTGTTACGATACTAAATCTGCACATCCACAGGAGTCATTCGATGTGATAATTACTTTGCAGGCTACAAACGAATGTGAGGCCATTAGGTTATATGGGAACAGGTGCAGCCGAAGCAGCATAAATGCCTTCCACTTGATGCCTCCATATTCTAAGGTGGTGATTGCCTTGTGCAGCAATTAACAAGAGCTTTCAAAACATCAGGATGAAATCAGCCTCCAGTCGCCAAATCCAAATATCACTGAAATGTCAAAGGAGGTTGTCAGATGTTTTGAGAGGTGTCAACGAGCAGGGTTTTTGCCTCATGCAGAAGCATCTTTAATTTGTTTTATGCAGCAAGCTTCTAGTGTGGAAGGGGAGGCAGGTTGAGAAATGTGGCTGCTGTCCAGACCGTTCCTATTCTTTCCTTTCCTATTTTACTGCTTTCATGCAATTCTTTTCATTTGTTTCCTCTCTTCTGGTTTTGCTTCCTTTTCCTTCCCCTCCTCATTTCCTCACCCATACTGTGTGCTTCACTGACTGACTTCCCGCTCACCAGGCAGCAGACAAACATTTTCCCTGGATCTGCCACTCTCACTTAGCATCCGTCTGTTTTTTGTTTTTTTTCTCCAAAGAGGTGATTGGCAGCAGGGGCAAGCATTAGCATTTCCTCATCTTGGCATAGAGGCACTAACAGGCAGGGATAGCAGCAGAGGATGTGCCTTGAATACTGAGCGACAACCTCACTTTCTCATTGAGAGACAAAAAGAAAGTGTCTTTTGTGTGAAGCACGTAAAGGAAGTGAACTTCTCCTTTGTTTTGTGCAGGATTACAGCGTTTTCCAGCTCTTCTGTGCAATTAAAACCTTCTTCTTGTATTGGATTTACTCAGTGATCTGTGCAAACCTCCTCATGTGCTTCACACCTCCTATAAATGACGATAAAAATGTCCCACTGGTTAAAAACATTGTCATCTTTATTTGAAGAAAGAGGGAAAAAACAGTCAGCTGCAACAAATCTTCCCTATCCACTGATTCGTTTATTATTGTTTCAGATTTTAGGTAGCATATGAGCGCCAGGCTCTTAAAGAATGTGCCTTGGATTTTCTTCAGTATCCTTAAATGGGCTCATTCCTTCACTCTATTCTCGCCATAAATATGTGGTCGGCCCTCGTACAGATAAAAAAGGTAATCCACATACGCGGTCTGCCAAGAAGCTATTTCTTGCTCTGAACAGAATGGAGCAGAGTGTAACGAAAATATCCGGCTCTAATTTCTCATAGAGGAACTGTTGTGTTTGGGGAAATAACCTACTTTAGAATGTGTATAAGAACTAATACCTACCTATCATCTCTGTGTAGCAGAGATAATACCATCTTCCAGTGTCATGGAGTTGCCATTTTGGAGGCAAATATTGTATTTTCAAGGACAACCGGAAGCGCGTAGTCCCTAATCTTTTCCAGGAGCTCCCGAAAGCCAAGTGAACACAGCAGTAATGTGGTGTTGTCAGATGTGCGTGTCAGCGGCGTAGCGATGCACGCACTGAAGGCTAAATTCAAATCGGGCCTGGCAGGCTTTCAATACAGGTCTCCAGTTTGACATTAAAGAAACCAACACGAGCTGATGTGCTGTCAGTTTTGTTTCCATGATTCGGAGATAATCTGCTACGGCGAAGCGGTGAAAAGTCAGTCTTCGACTTTCTGACACTTGTCACTTTCACCCCCTTCAGATATTTGAGAAGCAAAGTGGCAAATGTTTTCTGTTTACCACTTTTCAAACGTAACTCTTTTGCTGCCACTGTTTCTTTGTGTTACACAAACAGAGTATCTGATTTATTTTTATAAAAAGGGAGTGAAATTGAGAGACAGCACCCTGGAGTCCTCAATAAATGAGATTTGTCATCACATTCTGACATTAATAAACAAATAGACATCACTTAAAGTGGACTGTTTTAGGATTGATGCATAATCAAAGAGCTGTTATGCACTGAAACTTTTTTTCTCCCCACATTAGTCAAGCGAAGCCAGTTTTATTTTTCGCCCTAATGAATTTAAATCATAATAAAGGGTTTTAAATCTGTTCAGAAACCTTATCCATCTTCATGCTCTACATTTAGATGAGGAAATTAAACATTAGAAAAAAACTATCAAGAAAGACCCGGCTTTCTTTATTTGTTATTATTCATGCATTTTGCAGTAGTGCTTAATCTACCTGATGTGAACATAACTGTACTCGTTTGTTTCGTGTGTGTCTATTTTCATTGCTGTACCTGCTATTAGTATGACTGCCATAAGTGCTCACTGTACCTAGTGGTTAAAAAGCCTTTTTTTTTTTATTTAAATAGTCATAAATGTATCTTCTGGTTCTTTTTCTTTGCAGCAGGAAAATGACTCATGAAAGCTCTGAATCACACACCCTTCCCCTTCCAAACAATATAAAAAGGCTTTTCATTAAGGTGTTTTAATTGGCTGTGAACCTATTATGTTATCCACTCACAGGTGGCCACGGCAGATGGCATCATCCAATGGCCTGTGTCGATATGGGGCCCGTGTGGACTGCTGCTGGGGATGGACTCGTCGCTCCTGGGGTCACTGCCAGCGTGAGTGCCACCGTGCCCGCTGCTGGTGCTGCTCGGAGGGTGGGGGGCAAAACGGGAGCTAACAAGCTTGCGGGGTTTCAAGCTAGAGGGAGGAGGGAGAGGTCATAGATGCTGTTAAACTGAGGATATGCTGCAAAGGCTCGGGGAAACGCGCAGACACACATACACATGCAGATTGTCTCAACAGAAACACATGCAGCTAATGGAGCATTGCACCTGGAACAATCTTTGAGGAAAGATTGATGATGATCGCTGGTGGAGCGGCGGAGGTTTATATTCACACTGCGGGTGGCCTTAATGAGCGAGACTATAGCTGCAGGTGGACACATTCAAAGGGGAGATAGGAGATTGATTATAGATTACAAGTGTGCAAACATAAGCTTGCCGGCAGTGCATGAACAAGTAAAAAAAACCAAACAAACAGTGATGTTAACATAGTCCATGGTGTTGTCAGGTGTACATAACTTGACTCATCAGGATTCAGAGGATGTGTCCTGTCATTGTGTAACACTGAATGCTTCATCTCACATTATCAACATATTTACTCCATGCTACTGAGGGATGTGTGAATATACCAGTGGATTTTAGACACTGGCTGGGTGCCTCGCAAATATCAGATCCTTTGCATGGCTTGATGGCTCTGATGGTACGCCTGCTGCTTTGCTGTGGACATTTAATAAAAGAAAAGGGGTAACACATCAACAGGCCTTTTCCACGGCAAGAATTTACCAAGCGGCTATTAAAAAGGTTAGGGAAGTGGGTATGCTTATTCGCTTCCTTGCCAAGAGAAAATCAATAGCGCTCTCATCCTGTGTGTGTGCTAAGCCAACAGCTGGGTAGTTTAGATAAGCAAAAAGCCAGGGCAAAAGACCTCACATGGGCCATTACGAAGAAGTATACGCTCAAGCCCTGGAGATGAAACCCAAGGTACAATGTGTTAATGATGATCTTTAAAGATTCTAGATGTTTCTTAACTAACTGGAGCAATTTCATCCATGTATTAACATGAACACGCTTCCCATTAATTACTACAAAAGCTTACTGTTTACATCCATGTTATGTCCAGCCTTTTTCGTGCTTTCACATTATTTGTGCCTATACAGCATGTACATATGGCTGATTCTGCTGAGCTGAGCTGAACTACTGAGAGGTTGCACACTAGCTTTGTGTTGGCCCATTTGAATGGTAATTTGAGCATACAGGTCTTCTGGAATTCCCCCAAATTAATGACCAAATGGATCAAATTCTGATAACACCAAGGATCTCTGTATTGGGGGAAAATCCATTTTGTTTCCAGTATGTATCACATGATACTAACGGAAATTGTGCGACATAGTTATCTGGCCTTGGTTTCCTTCTGTTGTCGGGCTTTATGAGAATCTACACTAACGTTTTTGGTTACAGATATGTGAGCGGTGATCAGGAAGGCACCGATCCAGCTACTTCCAGCTCTCATCCAATGCAGTCACCTTGGCTTAAGCCACTGCTGAGTTAATAATAATAAATGAATAAGCTGTCAGGAAGAATAGTAATTTTTCAGGCAACACTCAGCTTACAAAAGTCAGATGAAGTGAAATAACAAAATGTTACGTCTCCATACGTTCAGCAAAGGCTTCTAAAGAAGCATTCTGCTGAACATAACCGCAGAGAGAGCAAGTCAGGGAAAGAAAACATCTTCATCTGAGCTTCTCAGTCATATCAACTTACTCGATCGTAGTTTGCTAATAAATTAAAAACCGATGCAAATATATACAAATACATAAATATAAATAAAAACTGTTGTTGTGAAATGCCTCGAAATATTTCACACTTTGCTGTTAGCTTCCTCCAAGCTAAGTTAGCTGCACCACTAGCAACCTGTGTGGTGCTGGAGATGTCATAAAACTAAACTGACTGGATCTGCCTTAAATCAGCTCGTTGTCATTTAAAAACAAATCTAAATATATCAGGGTGTGAATTACTAGCAGCAACAGTCTTCTCAACTAAGAAAACCCATGTTAGCAAGAAACAATGTCAGTATTTGCTACAATGTTAGCTGCTAGCTAAGCTTTTATTTCTCTAATCTCATCCGAATTTTGGAAATGAACCGGATGTGATACAAATACTAAATCAACATTACAACAAACATAAGACAAGTTTTTATTTTTGATATTCAATATATGTTTAGGTCCCCCCCCCCACACATACACACATACACACATACACACATACACATACTTATTTAAAAGACTTTGCCTGATTTTCATTTGGTTGTGTATAAAATGAAAGAAAATAAACATAATTCTTTTATATATTGCTGTCTTTTTATTGGCATATAATATTTCAAAATTATGCCTTATTTTCAAATAAAGAATAACATTACAATGTTTGTAAAATAAAGTGGAAAGGAAAGGCAGGACCTCACACAACTTCAGATTGTTAAGTTCCTGCTGTGGAAAAGGGCCAAGAGATGTTTCTAACTGCGCACATATTTATTGCTTTTTGAAATAATGTTTAATTCACTCAACAGTTGACTCATTTTGTGTTTCTCATTGCTTAAATTACCATATTTTGATGTGTTTTCTCATTTGTTGAAGCTCACCATGCCATGCTAATTTTATTCACTGTATTTTTGGTTTGTTTAATAGAAAATATGCCACACGCTGTTTGTTGAGTCCAAAGGTCCATTATTGCTAATCTGAAAGATTTTTAAGCCTTTGAGTTTAGCAGCTGTTTTTCACTCCCATTACATGTAAAAGAGTTTTTGTTCTAAAGAACACGAACAGTGTTCCTTGAGTTCATCAATGCACTGTTTTTGTATTCCTTTGCAGCCTAGGCAGATTAACCTAAGGTCTTTTCTTTTATCCACCTCTTTCTTTGCGTCTATTAGTAACAAAATATGATAATGTTGCTCTTACATAAACACTTGGAGCAAGTCATACTAATCGTTTAGAGGACGGAACTAAACTCGCAGCTTGAGGGGGTTTGATTTCACGGCTGGAATTTGAAATAGTTTTTATACTGTAGCTGACCTTGTTCAAAAACACCTCCTACCTTTTCCCAAGGCCTTGACACTTGAACTAGAAAATCTGTGCTGGAATGATACAGGAAAAATCACCACTGTTTCAAATGTATTTGTTTGAACACAGAGCCAAATTCAGCAGTAATCCTGGCAGGAGTGAGCCATCTCAGTGCCCAGTACTTCCCAGTGCATTTGTACTGGGCTCTCTGCCTTTACAGCTTCCCATTTAAAAAATAGATATTTGTTTTTGCTGAGGATGTAAAGAATATGAAGATAACTACAGAAGCACGGAAGCTTCAAACCCTAAATAAACCAGTTACATCACATTAAAGTCCTGTTTGCATCGGTTACTTGACCAGCCAAACAGCAGTGTGTGAGCATGTCTTCTTTGTTGCTCTGGAATCCCACATGTTCCATGTTCGGCCAAAAATATCAGCTAATTTTGAACTTAACCACCATATGAAGCTGCTGCTTTACCACTTTTCCTTCCCAACAAAACCGTATCTGTTCCGTGAGTTAAATCACTCGGTGAGTGCTCGCCTTAATGCTTTCAATGCTCCTGAGTGGGCACAGCTCAAATCCATTCACTTGAGACTACAATCAGCATTCCATCAAGTCAGTAAGGTGCTGATTTAAACCTAAGAGGAGGGAGGCGGAAGGTTTCAGAAAGAAATTGTGGGTAATCATGGATGTGTCCATGTGAGCGTACCTTTTTCTGCATGTGTGTGACGGGTTGCAGTCGTCACAGATTTCAGGTCTTGGTAAATTTTAGTGGAGATGGAAGAGATTAGGCTGGAGCTATCGTATTGTGGCTTTTCAGCCTCAGAGCTCAGCAGCCGGTTTGCGCGACTTCTCTCAAAGAATGAGAAACTTAATGGATCAACCCTGACTTTTTTTTCTTAGCTCTTAGATCCAAGTGCAGGAAAAAAGAGGAAAAAGGAGTAAAAGTAAAAATCTTGGGGTGTAGAGGAAATGATTTAAGGGGAAGGAGTTGGAGGTGATTGCTCTTGTAGTGGAGGTGAGACGTTAGGATGGGAAGACAAGTGAGAAAATCAGGCAGATGGGGCGTGTGTGAGAGAGATGAGCTTTAGATTTATAGCAGACTGAGGCTGCACTCATAATGTTCTGACAGGCCATCCAGCAGGCAAAGCCACACTTGAAGCTACTTATTCCAACCAGCTGCCATCGCGAACATTTCACTGCCACTGTGAGCATTCGAACATTTGCATTTCCAGTGAAATGCATTTCACTTTGGTCACATGAAAGTGCCTCCCTTTCTGTTTCACTGAGGACGACGCGTAAAAGCCATTTTTTAAACAAGTTGATCCCGGCTGCGTCAGTAACCACACGGTCCTCTCAGTCAGTCACGGTCTTCGGTTATTTATCAAAGATTTTATCAGGTGATTCGCATCTGTATCAAATACGAATCTAATTCCATTAAAACTTAAATATTCATGGTTAAAAACATCATTATTATATTTGTTTGAGGGAAGTTTGTACTGGACAATTCTGCGTGCTCATGCAAGTGCTAGGATTCAAGGTCAGGGCAGGAAGTCATTGCCAGTGTCAGGAAGAATGAGACAAATAAAAGTCCAGCTCTCATCTTTCGCAGTGCGAAAAACTCATCAATATGGAGAGTTCAGCTTCGATACACCCAGTGTCTAGATTTTCACATCCCAGTCTCTAAGCGTTCAATGGGAACAGTCTCACTGGCTCAAGAAGTTCTTTGTCGATGATTTTTGCATGACAGCTAAAGCATTCAGCGGGAATGAGCCACGAGGGCGTAAAATCTGAGTGGCTGGACAGAGCAGACAGAGGTCTGTGCCCTACCTAAACTCCATTTTCACTGATCAAATGATTTAATTGCCTGAACATAATCACACCCTAGCCAAATGTTATCATTAGTCACATAAATGTAATGCACAGACAGGAACATTTGCATGGATAATCTCTTTTTTTCAGTAATTTGGATCTTCTCCAAAGCCTCATACTTGTAAGAAAAAGATGTAAAGGAGAAATTGTGAAAAGGCTAAAACCTGAGTTTTAGTACCTGCTGTGGTCACTCTGAAAGCCTTCTCAAGCTGCAACCCGGCAATGGCTTGCTTGACCCTTCAAACTCTCAATCCATAGTTCATAATAGAGGTTTCTTATACAAAAGGAATCCTTAACCCTACACCGAGAACATGTGTCATTGAGAATAAAGATGGGTATTTGCAGAGCTGTGCTGTACTAATATAAGCACACTTGGCTCGCCTTGATAATATTATCAGGGCTCGAATCTACAGTCATATTGAAATTAGGCCCCTTAATATGTGGATAAGAAAAAACAACTCAAAAAACACTGTTAAAGTTTTAAAAGGTAAATATCATAGTAAATGGAGGCTGGGATACTGTAATACACCACACACTCCAAATAATACTAGTTAATTTCTCACTTACCACTAAATGCCATTAAAGTCTTCATTAAATAAAAACGTATTCAGATATAATTTCTGTTTCCTTTCTTTTACAATCCCCAGAAAGTGCCCATAACTTAAAAAATAATTTGTTTCTTCGTTCCTTTAAAGCTTCCAGTTGCCAGGCCCTCATGTATTTTTTAGGAGGAAAAAAATTACACCTTGATTTCTGTAAAATTACACGGTAATTGTTGTGAAAATTGCACCGTAATTACACAGGGCTTACTATTAAGTGCTAACCTTTTTTATATTAACTCGGATAGTCCTGCGAGCGCTACGAAATTCCCAGGCCCGAAGACGTGTTCTGATTTTCTCTGCATTTTAAAGGCGTGGGTTGAATATCATCTCCATATTAAATAGATCACACATTATAATTTCCTCCGAGGTCCTTGCGGGGTTTTCAGATTCACTGAGGCCGGGATTTTGTTTGATTGAGTGCAGTCTTTGTTTCTTCAAATGGTGCGCGCAGGATTAAGGCAGGAGCCTAGAATTGGTAATGTGAGCTAACAAGCGAGCGGTGAAAGGAGAAAAGTGATACCTCAGTTTAAGTAAGATCGTTTATCGGGGTTGTCTGTGTGGCTTCCTTGTCTGCTTCGCTGTTTTCATTATCGCCGGGCTGTAAAGGCTCCGCTAAAAAAAAAAATACATCTTTTCGCCCGTTTGAGGTGAAAGCGAGGCAGAAGGGTTTGCTTGTTAGAGGTGAAGGCGAACCATGTTCACTTGAGTGATTTAAAGGAACTTAAAATGAATAATCTTTGCAGTGCAGTCTTGTATTTTTCATTTGGAGCCATAAGTTCGCTGTTTCACATCATGTTAAGGAACACTTCCACCTTCAACGCTTTAAATAAGAGCGATGTCCTCCTTTAATAATAGGACATTTACTCGTTTTTCTAATTATTCTTTTATTAATCATGTATTCCAAACGTCCCCAGAGGCAACAAGGCATATGTGTGATTCCAGACCGTGTGCGCGTTCCAGGAATGTTTGCTTGTCCAATGACCAGACTGTGCCCTCTAACATCATGTCTGTTTGTTTGCTTGTTTGTTTGTTTGTTTGTTTGTTTTCCTTTTTTTTGCTCCCCCAGAGACTAAACAATGCCTGCAATCTTGTTTATTTGGCTATTTGTTTTGCAGCTCTCTTCGCCTTAACTCACAGAGTAGTCGGGATAAGGTGCCTGCCCCAAGGTTAGCTCCACATGTTTCTTGAAATAATCTTGCTTGACATGTACTGCTGGGGGCACATCCTCTGAATCCTGTGCTCACTCACTTATTTATAGAGCCAAGCCCACACCCGCTTCCAAAACCAGTAACACCTCTCCACCCCTTGGCAGTAACCATCTCCTTCCCTCTGGCCTCAGTTCTGCGCACACAGCTTGCACTCTGCAGACCCTGTGTCAGCTGAACCCAGTGTCTAACAGGAATTTTTCCCAAGTTCTTTGGTAACTTTTTAATATTCAAACACCCCTCTGGTCAATCCATTGGAATACTAATGAGCCCCTTAAAGCTTAAATCCATAATGTTTCTTAAATTTGATATCAGTAATAGGGCTCTTCAAGCATTTATGATGCAGCGTTATTAACAGAACATGTGCCGCGACTTGTCAGTGTAAGAACTTTGGATGGGTTTATATTTCCCTAATAAATAGGATTCTCACTACAGCATCGCCTAGTCAATTATCCCAAGGTCGAGCGGAGTGAGATGCTCCTTATAGGAACGGTGAACTTATTAGGCAAACGGATAGAGTTTGATCATATACAAAATTAAAATTACAAATATTCCTTATTATAGTGTCTCAATTTTCAGAATTGCCTTTCCTGATCTCAGTTGGCTTTATATGTCATTAATCAAAAAGAAACAAGCCGCAAGTTATCCCTTACTTGCTAGTAATTACTTCCACGTTAGGTTGATGAACCGATGTGTTACACTAACACGAGGCTTATTCGCCATAAACAGTCCACACAAGGATCAGTAGCAATTCTCTTGAGTCCGGAGGAATGGCTGATGTAAACCAAAGTGAAAGTGTGTCATCACTTGACGTGTTTTGATGGCGTTCAAGGAACGAGGATTACACTCACTATGTTTGGCCTTCCAGCTGGTGGGGCCATTTTTAGTGCTCCCTGTCCTTTGCTGTGGCTAATGAACACCGGTCATTATCCTGATCTCTCTGCCAGGCCAGAGGCTTAAAAATACCCTCAAAGGCAAAGCCTGTTGATGGTTGCCTCTGATCTTTCCAATCAAGTCCTCCTCCTTGGAGGGGAGTAACAACACAGAGCATTCACTTGGCTGCTCTCTAACGAAGACATCAGTAGCTGCTTTCCTTTAATCCGCCGACCAGACCGGGGTCTAACAAACTTCTGCTTCCGGAAGAGTGCAGCACGTTTCATGTCCTCCAACAAGAATGGGCCACTTTTAATTTGTAAATGTGAACTTTGACTGCTCGGTGTGTTAACAACCCGACTCATATCACAAGCTCAAAGTTGGCTTACATTGCTTTTCATTCTGTTCAGTCACGGAGCCTGATAAAGTGGAATGAGTCGTGAGTAGTTATCTAGATCAGTTAAAGGAATCATATCATTACCTTGTTCTCTTTGAATTCCTGCACCTGAGTAACTAAAGTTACTGTTTTTTATGAATAGGCCAGGTTAGCTGCAAATTCTGAAAGATGTAACTGAATTCTTAGCATATGGATTTCACTTAGAGAGAGTCTTCAACCATTTCTACGTTTGTATCAGGCGTCAGTCGGTGCGCTGAAGTTATATTTATCTCATTTGAAACAGAGAGCAGTTAGATATTTTCAATCAAAAGATATTTTATGTTAAATATACATACAAATACCCAGAGTCACTGGACTTTATTCCATTATATTTTAAAGAGGAAACACAGCATGGTGGCACAGGCTAACCTAAATTCAGCTGATCTGTCAGTTTTTTAAACTTGCAGTATCACAGACAGCTACAAGTATTTCAGTCTCCCACTGAGCTTTGGAAATTCCAGATTTATCATGGAATTTATTTTTATCAAAACCTGAATTTCAGGATCACTTTCTTCTGTGATTGTTTTTAAAAACATACTCACTGATACCCGAAGAAACACATACATAAACAAATATATGTGATGTCTTTGGTCTTTTGTCTGACCATTCAACCAAACTGAAATCAGTTAAGCTGTGTTTGAGCTAAAACTGTCAGAGATCGGACTGGTTAAGGCGAGAGATAAATCCTCCTTGATGCAGTTTATTTGCTGGATTCAGTGCGGGGTTGCCGTGCTGTATGCAGGACATCACCAAAACAAGCATGCCCTGCATCTTTATCAGCACAAATAAGCTCAGTATACCATCACATCCTTCCAGATAAACAACAGACTGGCTGGTGGGATGAATACTATCCAAAAGAACATCTCTCTCGCTCCCTAAACACGCACACTTACAGACTCGGGTGTACTGCTTCTTCTGCCACACTGGTAATTAAGTCCTCTGATGGTATTGTATTATGACATAATTAATGAAGCTTTTAATGAAAATTAGTAACACTCGGTGTATCAGAAGTGCTTAGCAGCAAGCTGCAGCAAGCGCAGTAAGATAAGCAGGGCAAGCCTCCAGCTCACTGAGACAGAACAGAGCCAGGGAAGCTCTAATTCCACGTCTCGGTACACAATCAAAGTATCAACTATCCACGCACTATGTAAGATCTCTTTAATGAGAAACTAATTATAATCTGCTATTTTGGTGCTTAATTGTTTCAGTTTCGCTCTAAGAGGGAAATATTATTCACCTAGGTAATCCTTGTTGGCGGCATGCCAGAGTAAATATCAGCGCTGCATTTTAAAGCCACGAGAATCTAAATTTTGCCGGGTGTAAAAAAGGTCAAACGTCTCATTTATTTTCTACAGTGGGAAATAATTTAATATCAGCAAGGACAATAAAACTTCTCCCGAATCCTGCACTGTGCAAAGTAAAAAAACAACTACTATGTGGTTAGCTGAAAATGGCTTTTCCACTATCATTAGTCAATGATAATATGACTGTCACACAAGGAGAAACACACACATTTCCTATATGAATGAGGCATCGCGCTGTCTTTTTGCTGTAACTTGGGAGTAAATTTACAGCCAAGGGGTTGTGGAAGTCAAAAAGCAGTAGGATTAAGTGCTTTGTCATCCTGATCTGGTACACGTAGTCTTCCAGGGCGCTGCGCTGATCTGTCTCTTCCCTTCTGAATCCTCCTTTAACCAGCTGTGTGCCAGCCTGGCTGTAAGCATGGAGACTGCGTGGGACCCAATAAGTGCAAGTGCCATCCTGGTTTCACTGGGAAAACCTGCAATCAAGGTGAGCTATCGACCGAAGCTTGCAGCCGCTTTCATAACTCTGACCGTGATGTTGTTTTGCCATTTGACGTGACTTATCTGTTCCTCGCAGTGCACTGAAATAGAAAGATAAACCACAAAGAAAGCAGGGAGAGTCGGGAAATATTGTCCCCACCCACTAAGCAACGGGCCTGCTGACGTGCGCATCTTTCCTAAAGAAAACTGAGTGAAGGAGAACCTCTGCCTTGAGTGATGTCAGCGTAATCACTGTTTATTGCAGCCAAATCTCCACAGTAGAACATCAGCGCTGTAAAGCTGCCACAGGAGCGGAAGCTGGTTTGCATCAGCTGACAATAGTGAGGTGCTTTAATCACAGGGCAGGAGGTGGACCGCGGGGGCTGATTCAGCTCAAATGGAAATGAGTGGTGAAGCTGTGTTGAATGATCCCTGGAGTGCATCCTCTCCTGTGAAGATAACATCTCAATTACTGACCTGAGATAACTTGGACCGACTGAGTGCAACCAATGCTATTTGAAGGCGTTTGTTTGTTTGTGTGTGTGTGTGCTGGTCGGTGGATGAGAGTGGGCGGGGGTGGGGGAGGTCTGGAGTTTTTGTGCCTTTACACTTTGGGCACGTTGAAAAGCATTAAAGCTTCCCCAGTTAGCTTGACCTGCATCCCAGCAGCTTGAAAATACGTGTGGAATTGACGCCCTGAGACGGGAATAGGATAGTGTGTAATTAAAAACAAGGGGGAGGGAGGGGGGGTGGGGGTGTTGAAATCCTTTCCGGAATGTTCCAAATGACTCATCCTGCATTTCAGGGCTATAGGTGGCTCCTGTCTGCCTGGGCCAGACAGGTCTACTTTGTCTCAATCTGCAACAAAGAGGAGTAAAGTAAAAGGATACGGTATCCAAGCGCGGCAGACTTCGCTGCCAACCATTCAGACAGACTTATCTGACAAAAGCGATTCCGAGACCTTTCAAGATGAAACTGTACTTTCAAGCGTCTGCCGAACTCCCATTTTTCCAATAAGCTCGTGACGTTTTACTTAGCTCTGAGTGGCAGACTTGACCTTTCAGCCTGCGTAGGTGCTGATAACCCCGCATTCTCTGCCGCGCTGCCCCATGCTATGGAAACCAATTTAATTATTCAGGGACCGGAGATTAGATTTTCTCATTTAAATGCAGCATCGGTCAAACATTGATTTGAGGTGTACTATTGATGTGCCAGGTGGCCAGTGTTTTGAAGCAGTCTAATATCCTGTCCCTCTGGAGTGCAGTATTTATCTCGAGGAGACAACTGGAGGAACGCAATAAGAGCCCCGAGCTGCTTCTCTGACCTCGATGTTGCTAAAGGTCAAGCAGTCTCCCCGAGAGCTTTTAAATCAGATTATAATCTGTAAATTTGTTTTTAGGAAAACGGCGTCTCCTGGGGAGTTGCACGATAAGTGCAGCCGGTGGTCAAACTCGTTAAGAGGCTAAATACTCGACTTAAGTACCTATATTTGAATAACTCAATTTTATGCCCTGCTTGTGCTTCTAAAAGGAGGTGAACATTTATCTATATTTATCTGTCTGCAAATCGCTGATAACATTTTAAAGAGACAAATTTAACACTTAGAAAATTGAGCGACTTTTTAAACTTTTGTCCAGCAGTTTCCTAGTTTGTGTCCCTTAAAAAGGTCATTACCTCACCTTATCACACCAACAAAAATTCACTGACTGCAAATGATAGTAGCTACTATTTTATTTTTAAAAAAGAGATTACAACAGGAAAATGTGCACAAGTGTGGACATCAGTGGTGAATACACAAATTTATTTTAAGTGGGTTGTGCGGATGAGTTTGCCACCCCGGAGGCTCGGATTGATTAACAAGAGTGTTGAACACCTTAGAAACACTGTTTGTGTGGAGCAAAAGCAAACCACAGACAGTCATTGTTTACAGTAAACACGATCACAGCAGCTCCTATACAGAAAATATCCCGCGATCTGAACGGGATATAATTTAAATGAATGTGATTATTTTTCACCATTAACTTGACTCTCTGAGAATCCAAACAGAATCGTTTTGAGAACGCGCCTCACGCTCGGTGCTGATGAGAATCGTTGCTGTCATTCAGCGTAGTGATAGATGAGCATGCTGTCGCTGCACAAATAAACTCATTATAAGGATAATCTGTTTAACAGTTTGGCAGCAAACTCCCCCTGCTGATCCAATCATTTTAATAAGATGATTATTCCATGCAGGTGGATTTAATTAGGTGTAGTTGACCTGCTGTTAAGACACTATTAAAAGATTTTGCTGGAGGATCCACGTCTCAGACATCAGAAGGAATACAGCTGCGGAGATGCTTCCAGATGCTCCTCGTCTGTCAGCCAGATACATAATTAATACCACTTTAAGTGTGATAGCCTAATACTGCTGCTGCAGCATGTATACAGTTTACTTCTAGATCTGTTTTCAGAATATTAGCTATTATCTGGATCTCTCACTGCTTTATCTTGGCAAAGCCGCAGAAAAGAGCACGAACACTTTGACTAATCTCCATGCGAATTTAATTCAGTGTAGGTGTAGACAGATACTTCAGGGCTGTTGGTTTAGAAACCGATCCCTCTCTGTCACTGTTTGTCTTTCTGGCTGTCTGCTATTAGCAGCCAAACAGCTGCAAGTATTTAAAGTATTGCATGCATGTCATCATACTGTGTATTTACACTCAGTTGTCTGGCTATTACTCCAGATTCCTTTTATTTGTGTTCTCTTTAAGGTCACCAAAGAGGCAAGAAGTAATGTTTGACCTGAGTTAACTCCTGTGAGTTTGAAGTATATGTGATTAGAAATCATCCCCCTGCTAAGATTTCCTTCTGATATTCCTTGTAATGATAAAGATATTGTTCCATTAAGAATGATGCAACACAGGTTGAACACATATGATTGAAGACATGATATCACATCACACAATAAAGCAGCCAGATGGTGGCTTGCAGAACTGTCCTATTACAATTAACAGCGCATGGAGAATGGAAGAAAGTTATCACACAGAGACAGCAGAGAATGAGCCTTGAAATCACAGTGGCTGCTAAAGGATCGCTCACTGATCAGATCGACCTCCAGAGTCTTTATGGATATTTTCATTTACTTAATAACATTTGCAGAAATACTTTTTTTCTGGTACTTTTCAGGTAAATCCACTGATTCTCCCACTAAGTTGAACTTTTTCCACTCATCGTCAACTTTAGGTACACCTGTTCAACTGCTAGCTAATGCAAATATCTCATCAGCTAATCACATGGTAACGGCTCAGTTCATTTAGGTAGGTATGCAGACATGGCCACGATAACTTATTGGCGTAATAAATAAATAAATCTGGGTAAATTCCCAGATGATTAAACATGCAACTATTTTGCTGGTAATACTTGAAACGAGCAAAGAAAATCAACAGCCTATTTATTTAAGATAATTCATAATTATATTGGGGGATTATATTGGTTGGGTCTGATTATTGTGTGTGTGTGTGTGGGGGGGGGGGGGGGGTCATAACCCCCCTGGAAGTTACGCCCCTGCGATAACTGCGGAAGTTCAAAGCGAGGATCAGAATGGGAAAGCAAGACAGAAGAGAAGAGCATCTTTGAACATAAACACACTGAACCCTGTAGCAAATGAGCTACAGCAGCAGAAGCCACTCAGCTAAAGCTTTGGAACGGAGGGTACAGTTCATGCAGGCTCACCAAATTTGGATATGAGAAGACTGAAAAACATTGCTTGGTCTCAAAAGTCTTGATTTCTGCTGAGACATTTAGATAATTGGGTCAGAATGTGCCAAAAAGAACATGAAAGCATGGGTCCCACGCTGTATCAATGGTTCAGGCTGTGGGTGTAATGGCCTGAGGGATATTTTCTTGTTACACCGTGATCCTTAGCCTACCTGAGTATTGTTCCTGACTGCGTCCATCCCTTTATGACCGCAGTGTACCCATCTGCTGATACCTATTTCCCAGCATCACTAGATGGGTACACCATAATGATTTGTCACAAAACTCAAAGCATCTCAAATTGGTTTCTTGAACATGACAATGAGTTGCCTGTACTCGAATGACCTCCACTGTCACCAACTCTCAATTCAGTACAGTGCTTTTGTTATGTGAACAGGAGATTCACATCGTGAATGCGCAGCCGACAAATATGCAGCAACTGTGTGATGCTATCATGTTAACCTGATGTTTGCAGCACCTTTTTGAATGTCAGAAAGCAACAGGTCATCCAACTCAGTACTAGGAAGTTGTACCTAAAAATGTGGCCAGTGGGTGCAGTACAGGCACCTACACCCTGAGGTGGCAGCTCAGTAGCTAAATTGTTCGTGGGTTTATTCTTCTTGTTTTTCCCCATTTTATGACTGGACCCACCCACTATGTTCCTGTCCAGCACATAGTTACAGCCTTATTAGAGATGTATTCTCCATAAACTTATGTAATGATTACTATCAGTAATAATATATCTCTACATCTCTAGTTCCAATAAAAACAGCTGCATGCCATTTGTCTATAAATGAAGACAAACTGAAAACAGATTGTTTTCATAGTGAAGGTTTGTTTCTTCTTCCAGTGCCCGTTCATCGTGTCTATTTACAGAAAAGTTCAGCTACAAATGCTTCCGTCTTAAGCAGAGTTGGCAGTGCGGCTGCTTGCGTAACCTCTCAGTTTAGATTTTTGTATTCCTCGGTCGAAAAATGCTCGGATGATATGGAGCATGCAGAAACAGTCGGAGCTAGTTGTATCATCTTCTTGTCACTTAACAATAGCTGTTGTTAGCCCAGTGCCGGAGGAAAGGTTGCTTGAATGATAGATGGTTAGGCAGGAAGGGGAGGGGCTGAAATTCCTGAGGCTGAAGCATTTGCAGTCAAGCAGTGATTTGTCTCTTTAAATGTAACTCCTGCCTACTTTTGAAACTCCGGGCAGGAATTGAGAAGGGATCCTCTGAATCTGTGCGATACTGTAATTCTCTCAGATCCTATTTCACCCTTGTGACAAAAAGGGAATGCAGAAGAGACGAGCGGGCAGGAGGACAGGAGATGCAAAACCACTTTTTGCTGTTTCTCCCATGTGCCCTTTTTTTTTTCCTGATACTCAGCTCATGTCCAATTCCCACAAGTGTAATCCTCTTTGCTGCATAATGTTCCTCTTTACTTTCCAGGAATGTAGCGTGGTCAGAGGTGTCCTAATCCATTGGTTGGTTCCTTTTTAAAAAATTCTCTCTCTCTCTCCCTCTCCCTCTGTTCTCCTCACTCACTTTACTACTTCATGTCAATCAAACCCTCCACTCCCTTTCCTCCCACTCCCCTCCTCCTCTCTAACCCATTTTCTTTTGTCTAAAGAAGAGGCGCTGGACTATTTAACCCCACCAGTGTGGGCCAGTCACCTTCCTATCTTTCTTCCCGTGGACCATCAGCCGGCGAGAGTTGTGATGGAGGGTGAGATTCGATCGACCTCCCCTCGGCAGCTTCTCTTCTTCCCCCTTGGCAACATGCATGGTGCTGCACAATGCGACCTAAGGAGGACTGAATGTCACTCCCAGTTATTTTCTTCCTGCTTTCGTTCTGTCCCTGGCAGAGAAGGCACCACCCAAGAGCAGCTTTTCAGCAGAAGAAAAACAGCACGAGTGCCAAGCATGTTGCAGTTTTTACCACTCTCCCCTCCCTTTCTTTATCCCTTCTACCCTGAATACAGTTTCTCTGTGCAGAAGAGCCATCATGAGTTTCTCTTCCCTGCTTCTTCTTCTTCTTTCTCATTTGCACCATGACTGCCTGGAACAAATAGCTCTTCCTTGCTTTTCAAACCATCATCGACATGGACACAGCACTCGTGGCTTCTCCATCGCTGCTAGAACAAGGCCTTGAATTCCAACCAGTGTTATCTCCTTTAAAGACGAGCATATGCCCAAGAAAAAGGCCCCTGCTAATCCCTGTCAGTGATAGAGGTGTGTTGGGAATGTAGCACACCTCAGTGGAGCTGACCCAATAAATCACTCCATTTTGCATCACTTCAAATGTGTCTTAGCAGTTCATTTACCATACAGTGAACACCCCAGAGGGGCTCTCCACCTCTGCTATCTCACAGGTTTCTGCAGTCCTGGGGCCATGTCGAAGTATGAATTGGTGGTCATATCTGTGCGTTATCTCTCTGTTTCTCTCTCTCTCTCTGTCTGTCCTCTTGGTCTTGCCTGTAGATGAGAGCCTGGCTGTATCTTGCGCGTTGCTTGTGCTGATGCTCTACTGTCTGAGAATGTGAGAATTTCAATAATCCCTCATTTACATTTTTAAGCTGTTTTTCAGTGCAACGGACAAGTGGAGACCTTTTTCCTCTTTCACGCTGACAATGGACAGTGTTGCTATGGTTTTCTGTTATCGCAGTAATGAGTGTGCAAAAGCTGTGTGCTATGAAAAAAAGAAACAGGATTGACAGTGTTAATTGTAAAAATTGGACAACAGTGATGTGCGTGCATGCACGTGTGTGTGCAGGTGTGAGTGTTTTGGACAATATCTTGTGGGTGAAGTAAGCGGAGCTAAGCCTCCTGTCTGACAAAGGACAGAACAAATCATTTTGACGTGGTTCCCTCCATAGAAAAACTAAGAATAATTTATATCGCAGCGGAAAGACTGTCAGTTTGTACAGGTGTTTGAAAAGTGAGGGGAAAAAAGCAGTGAGCTTTATGCTCATGTGGTGAACAAAAATAGCAGAACAAATTCGGTTTGCAGTGGGCAGCAAGACCTGCTGTGTGCGCTGTGTAATAATAAGAGTCATCACACTGCACCTGTGTCACTTTGTTATGCACGCAAATGAAAATCTTGTTATCTCAAGGAGACAATCAGTTTATATTTGCAAAGACATTTCATTCATATCAGAAATCCTGAAATTTCAAAATAAAAATTCATTTTAGGGCAGCACGACTATGAGCAAAATTATTATCACTATTATTTTAAATGTCAACATTTGTTGTTGTGATTATTCACTGATTTGACCCCCGAAATGATCATGTAAGCTTACATCCATGCTCTGCTGCATTCCTGCTAATGTTTAAAATAAAACCAGTCCTTCTTTAGTTACCTAAATTCAGTGCATATCTTAGAGAATAAATATTCATATAATTTTTTTTTCTTTTTTAACTAAGCTAACACAAAATGTAGTCCACAGGACGATGCTTTCACCTTTGCCTTGTGCTGCATTCATGTTAATTAAAACATCTCTGCATACAAATGAGGCGTTTGTATCCAAACGCCTTATTCATCTGACCCGAGTGCATTTCTTAGAAGGAAAGAATATAAACCAACACATCTATTCTTCATCAGGGTCGACTCTTAGAGCAATTACGCACTTGTTCGTCTCATACTGCTCCTAGAATAAACTTGTTGTATTATTTTGCAATAAAACCAAGTGCCCCAGGAAGTCCTTTTTGTTGGTCCTGAGCTTGCATCTGCCCCACTGAAAAGCACTTGTCAGTTAAGCCTTTGGAGCCTTGGAGCACTTTTTTTTTATTCCATTATGGTTACCTACATGACAGATGTGAATAAAATGCATATAGTAAAACTCTATTTCTCTCTTTGCCTATAGTGCAGGTTTTGCCACTTTCATACAGTTGACCAGTTTCCTTAAGCCTTAATGGGTAGTGGACACATATTTTTGGCTAAATGGAATTTGACTGCATTTGTTGGTGACTTCAGTTTGTCTTTTTGAGCTTGATGGACGACCAGATGCGCTGCACAGGCCTGCTTTTTTTATGGACTTCTGAGTCTGTGCTGGATGATTTCCATTAGGTACGACCGCACTGTTTGTCTTTACATTCATTGTAGAGCAGATGTAGATGTGTTTTGAATAAGTTAGTTGTGTTGAGTTGGAGCACAGACCCAATAATACAGGACTAAATCACTAAAATGTATTTCCAAACAACAGCTAATGACCTGCTTTTAATGTGATCCTGTACATTGCAGGGAACAGGATTTTATTGCCAGAGCACAGATTTTCATTATCAATCAGTGATGCTGATTTAATTGTGGGAAACCAGACTCGTGATCGAGATTAAAACTGGATTAATCGTGCAGCCCTGCTTAAGTCTAATAACATTTAGCTTGTCTTACATGTAGAAGAATGTTTTTATAACAGTAAGTAGTCCGCTCCTTGTTATCTCTACTCATTCAAACAGTGAAAGTAATGTTTTAAATGATTTATATATCACCCCAGCATGACAGCTGCTTTCACAAACTGACCCCTATATATCTAAAAGAATTTATGGTCATGGAACATGACTTGAAGTCTGGCAGCACTTCCTAAGGTTAAGCATGCTGTCCAAATTTCTGACACATTTACTGATCACTTAGCCAGTTTGGCTTTAGTAGACCAGAAGCTTTCATTAATAGAAGACAGGAGTCTGTACATATACAAACTGGGCATCTGCTCAGTCATTCATCCAAATTAAACTGTGGCATCTTTTAAATGCAGGAGGTATGTGGCTCTCAAAGAATGTGCCCTACATATGTCCATAGAGCTAAACACGGCGCCATTTAAAGTGCAGTAAGCCAAGATGAACGCTCATGTGCCACACGGTGAGATGAAATCTATTTTATGATGCTTCTACTGTGTCACAGACACAGAGAGTGGTATTCATAGTTATTTATATTGCTTGGAGTGTGTGTCATCGTTCAGGTGTGATGGATTTTTGGTACCGTTTCAAGTTGGATTTTTCCTTTTATGGTTCTGACACTCCAAACTTGTCACATTTAAACGAGGTGCAGGTAATATATGAAGAAACATTTGCCCCAAACATAAACCCTGTTTCCATCAAAATCCATAAGTATTTCAGCGATATGCACATGCGAATTTATGCTAACCAAAGCAGAAGCAACCTGTTTGAAAAGCTTATCTAAAGATAGTCTGTCTTCAGGCAATAACCAGTGGTTTTAATATTACATTTCACTAAATGCAATCCCTTTTTCACTTCACACGAACTGTTTACCTGTATACAACCAAAGCCTGTTTGGTCAATAAAACTTAGACTTCAAACAGAATGTAGTCTTCCTTGTAAGCACTGAAGTTCTCCAAGTTATTAAAAGGATGTAAGCAAGAGCTGGGACTATGAAAAGGCTTATCTGGTTACTCTAACCAGACAAGCTGTTCAGTGATGCTCTGAAAGAGTGACACAGTTTCCTTTATGAGACAACTCTTTCCTAAAACTTACTTTAGGTGAAAAACATGATTTAAAGCAAACTCTTTGCACATCTGAGCTGCATGACTGCAGGCTAGTGTAATCCCTCTTTCTAAAAGTGGGAGCGTAGAAAGAATTTCTTGCATAAATTATTGAGCGCACACAGCAAATAACAATTACAGCATCAAAGTCTGAAACCACCAAGAAAGCTACAAGAGGTTTTTCTTGCAGTGAACATTTAACGCAGCATAAAAAGCACTTGTGTTGCTAATAACATTAACAGCCAGGTTAAGACAGAAATAATTTGGCCTTTTCATCCAATAAGTTACTGCAAATATTATGTTTGAGTTCACTGATAAGCTGTTAATCTGCAGTTAATCTACAGTCTGCTCCCACTAGCTGTAAACTGAAGAGCTAAACATCAAACCGCTAAAAAAAATAAAAAATGATGAAAACATGATGTAATTATGACATTTCTGTTTGTGTTTCACCTAAAGACAGTTCAGTAATTTCATCTGCCATCATTTTTATCCTCTTTAATGGAAAGAAAGCTTGAGTGCATTACATAATTGTTATGATTGTCACTTTGTATCACATAATAGTTATTCTTTGTTCAGTGGACTAAATAAAAACAGACCTTCCTTATTTAAGACAGCTGTTAAAAGCCTTTGCTTGTGCTTCATTTGAAAACTTTTACTAATAGACTGTGGATTTCCTTGCATAGTCTATAAATTTTACCAATGTAGTGCCTCAAAATGATGATTATTTGACCATCATTGTTGTGTTGGCAATGCACTTTGCAAAATTTCTGACCAAAACGTAGCACCAAGTTTTTAAAATAATGAAGGTGGTAACCACTGAATAGTGCTGCCCCAAGAAGCATAAAGTGCTAGCTAGCTAGCCAGTTATTGGCATCACCATCCTCCTACTACTGGCTGAAAATCCATCCTTTCTGCTGTGTATTCCACCACAAAAGGTGGCAAACATATAGTACTGTTCAGTCAGCTTCTGACTGTAATGAGCACACCATTGGAGAATGTCTGGTGGAATGCATGTGCCCAAACTTTTAAAAGTCACTCTTCCTATGCATTCAAAAAGACAAGTGTTAGTGCAGAAATGTACAATTTGAGACACAACACTTGATTTGATGTTAAATATATACAGTTGTGGGGGAAAAAAAGTTTTCATGCAGCCCTATGTAGTCCTGTTAAAGAAGTAAGTGCCCCCCTTACTGCTTCCACAGGAGTTAAGAGAACAAGAAGCAGCCTGGTCTTTGCCGCAAATGTACTAATTATCTGATGACTGGAAAGCAGGATCACTTTGATAAAAGCAGAAGTTTTGGCAATTTGTTGATCTGGAGCATTCAGGTATGTGTTAGCAGTATGCTTTGGAAGATGTCATATTTGCTTTGACACACACACTTCAGACCGCACAAAGGTCATAAAACACTCCAAGAGCCACGACTCAGACTCTACTGAGACCTGTTAAATGCTAACAGTTCATAATAGTACGATCTAAAAGGCTGAACAAGTATGGCTTTTTCAAGACATCTTGAACAACGTCCTTGTGGAGTGGAGATGTTTGACTGTAATGCACACCAAACATATTGGCAGAAAAACCTCATACCAACTGTCGACCACAATGGTCATGATTCGGACTCGTTTTTACAGCCAAAGGACCTGAGCACCTTGCAGTCCACCATGAACTCATCTGTATAACAAAGTACTCTTGTCTCAAATCTGAGGCCATCTTTCTGACAGCTAAAGCTTTTCTCAAATTGGGTTATGCAACAGGACAGTTTTCCCAAGCATAACAGCAAATCTGCAAGAGAATGACCGAAGAAGAAAAGCATCAAGTAGTTGCAATGACCCAGTCAAAGCCCAGACGAATGAGCCTGTCAAACCTCAATGAAGTGAAGCACCAAGAGTGGGTCATTCCTCCACTGTGACAAGAGGGTCTGATAAAGCCATAAAGAAAACAATTACTTTAAGTTATTGCAGCTAAAGGTGATCCTACAAGCTACTGAACCATGAGGTGTACTTAGTTTTCACTGGACTGCAGCGTGTTTGGGGAAAACTTTCTTTTCCAGCTGACTGTAGGTGTTACTATATTAATCATATCCAACTAAGTTGTTCTGAAGTTGCAGTGTGTGCAATGACCTGAAACAGACTAATGAAAACAAATTGTCACCTTTAATTTTTTATGCGATGATATGTCAAAATATGCCTTTTAAAGGTAATGTCGTGGCTGTCTCTTTGTTTTCCATCCATTTTAATGAATATAAAGACCTAAATATATTCACTTACCTGAGCCACTGTAAACTTTGCACGTACTTTGCACACTTTGTCTTATCATAACAGGAGGTACACAGGTGTAACCAGTGTTTTAATGGTTTTGGCAATGCTCTGTAACATTTTGGAGTGTCAGTAAGTCATCCCAGTGAGGCGGCATGCACCAGAGCCCTGGGATTTAAAATACATGGAAGAAAGGAAGACATCATTAATGTCATTAGTTACAGCTCTGTTTGACTCGTCAAAATGTCTGCTCCGAGAACAGCATAATGACTTGAATTTGCATAAGCATTTGACAGGTGTTGAGCTGAGAGCATATTCTTTTCTCCCAGGGGTGCTCCTTACTCCGAGCCCAGACAGCATAGTTTTCTAATAAGATTTTCATGGGCTACTGTGGGTGAGATTTCTCTACTTTCACGTCCACATAAAAACACCAGAATTAAACGTATCCATCAAAGAAAACCAGATGGAGAACTGGCAAACCTCACAAAGTGGTGGAAAGTCATAGGGTTTAATCATATCCTTCATCGCATGCAGGTGATGCAAAGGTTTAATGCTGTTACTGGCTTAACCATCAAAAGGGCGATTTCTGGGCCTGTCAGAACACAGAAATGCTTCACTTCCTTGAAGATACCCCCACCCCATTTAAAAAACAACCACGTTAACACGCAGTCACCTCAGAAGGAGCCTGCATACCTGCACGTAAATGGACAAGCGATGTCTGACATGACTCACCTCTTCCACCTTTGCCCCGTGACTAATTTCACCTCTTTATAGGACCTCTGTCTCTCTGTACCCCGGGTGATTTAAGTTGTCTTTCTCTCTGTCTGCAGACCTGAATGAGTGCGGGCTAAAGCCAAGGCCCTGCAAACACAGGTGCATGAACACGTATGGGAGCTACAAGTGTTACTGCCTGAATGGCTACATGCTGATGCCTGACGGGACCTGTGGAAGTAAGCCTGTTTCTCTTGCACACACACACTTTGATTGTTAACACTCTTTGTGTTACAGCCTGAGAGGTGGAAGTTTCCTTTCCCTGTCTGTGTTCTCCTCATGGAGGATTCCTCTTTTCACTGAATGTATCCATCTGTTTCTACAGGACACGGTGTTGATATCATTAAGAAATGTATTTCCCACTCGTACCCCTGACAGCAGCCTCACAATCCTTTGATAGACTGTTTTGATTAAAACATCGTGTTGATCTGCTTCATTATAGTAGCTCTGCAGACTAAAGAACCCCTGTGAAGAACCCTTTGAGGGCTGAAATGAAAAATATGAAAGAAACACAATCTCCAGACCCTTGAGTGAATGTGCACATTTTCTTTTAGGGTTTTTTTTTATTGTTTGCCCCGAGGTAGTCCACAGAATGTGAGCTGATGCCTGAACATGTCTCCCTGTAAATTCTGTTTCCCACCTGATAACTATTTTCCCTGCACGTTTCCACTTGAGGACTGTATGACTCCCGATACCTCTTTTTAATTAGTTCTTTTGTACGAGGGGAAAATTCACTCCCCACCTTTTAAAGTCTAAATCGCGTAACACTTGAGGCAATCTGAAATTATCCTAGGTGTTGTTGTCTAATGATAGCATGATGCCGTTAAACACCTTGCTGCTCCTCCTTTCTCCCCTTTGATCAATAGATCACTGTAGCATTTAATCAGCCCGGCCTGCCTCAGTCATCAGACTCTACTCCAGGGTGCCGGCAGCAGCTGAAGTAGCAGTGGCAGCAAAAGCCTCACTTTTAATTTCCTTTTTAGAGCCCACTGTTATCAAGACAGGCCGAAGAAAATCTGTTTCATTACGTTATTATTTTTGGAAGTTCTTGATCTGCCCGGCACGTCTCAACAACACTCACGCCTCACGCTGTTGCTTTGATATCGAGGGGGGGAGATGGATTATCAATCTTTGGGTGTAACAAAGGATAAAAGTGGGCAGGGGGAAGATTGCTGGAGCTAAGGTGTGAGCACATGGCAACTGCACAGCAGAGAAGTCTAATAATGGCAGAGTGAGTGCTGTGCCGCTGGCAGCACCCCAGGGTCAAGCTGGCTAATATCAGAAAAGGCAGGCGAGTGGCCTGGCTGTTATAAATTGGCTGGAGGAAAAAGAAGTGCGCGCGCGTGTGTGTGTTGGTGTGGGGAAAAAAAAGTGTAGGTGAGAATGGCATAAACTCTTCTCCCTTTGTACTCCCCAGTGGCACCAGTGTGTGTTAATGTGTGCCGTGTTTCTCTTTTACCCATCAGACGCTCGCACTTGTGGTATGGCCAACTGCCAGTATGGCTGCGAGGTGCTGAAAGGAGAGGTCCGATGTCAGTGTCCGTCGCCGGGGCTACAGCTGGCTCCGGATGGGAGAACCTGTGTGGGTACGTCCCGGTCTTAAAATATCTCCACATGCCTGAAAGCTGAGCTACTCTTATCTGTGAGCGACTTGCAGCGTGTAAATCCTCATAAATATAACTTTTTTTTTTGTTTGTGTGTGAGTATGTGTTTGTGTGTTTTTCTCAGCCTTTAAATTTGCTAATCAAAGGCAACTATTTTGGCAAAGGAAGAAAAGAAACTGGCAACACAAATGCAGTTTAGCCACTCGAACGCAAATCCTCAAAGCAAACAACTCATCAAAGTTGAATTCATCCAAATTGCTTCACAGCGCATAACTTTGATTTCATCGTCGGTCCTTCTCGACCAAGTTCTGTTTGCTTCCTGTTGCTTTTACAGCAGGAATGCGATCGAGGGAATCCGACATATCTGCCTTTACTGCCAATTTTATGTGACACTGCTCCTCAGAGGGGTACCTTAACAGATGAGTTGGGCAGTTGAGGCAGTTAACCTGTGTCAGGTTTAAACACAGGGTGTTCACTAGAGGCTCTTCCCCTTTATGCTGCCTTATAGGGCCACTTAACTGCTGGGCGGCTAAAGGGGTGGTTTTCTAAAATAGCACAGACATGAATCATGAAGAATTATGAAGGGGACAGAACCCTTTGCCTACCACAGGTGTTACGTCAGTAAACTCTGGACGTGGAGAGTTTTATGGAAGCTGTATAATCATCCTCATGGACGTGATTCCATCTAGGAACCAGAGACTGAAGTGAAGCATCTGGCAGCTAATGAGGTTAATTAGTAGCATGACTGGATATAAAAAGAGAAGATGAGTCTGTCAGATGTAAAAATGGAGAAGGGTGTGAAAGTCTGAATTTGTAAGTGGTTCAATAAGTTAAGAAGACCCTTTCTTAATGTAAAATTACAAAATCTACTGATGTAAGAGAAAAGGTCAAAAATGAACGAAAGGTGCGTGAGCTTCAGGCCCTCAGGCACCACTGCATTAAAAACAGACACTTTTATGCATGGACTCAGGAACAATTCTGAAAAGCATTGTCAGTAAACACAGTTTATCGCTGCAAAATGCAAGTGAAAACTGTAGCATGAAATAAACAACCCTCTGGGCCTGAGCTCATTCAGTGTGGACTGAGGTAAAGAGTAAAAAGTACCCTGTGGTCTGTGGATTCAAAATTTGAGTTTGGAAATGACGTGTCCTCCAGGCTAAGAAGGAAAGCAGTTATGACGGTATGGGGTGTTGGCATTAACGCATATGTCATAAATAACTGAAAAGGCACGATTAATACAGGACACTGTGTACAAGTTTTGAAACAATATTATGCCGACATTTGAAGACATTTTTCAGCATGAGGAAAGTGATAAATAAAAATAAATAAATTTCTTATTTCAGCAAGAAAATGCTGAGAAACATTTTGCCAGCAGAAACCCACTGAAAACATTTGGCACATTACTGTATGAAACAAAAAAAACCCCTAAACAAACAAAGGAGGCCTAAATATCAACATCATGAGAAACATCTCACACTAAAAACTACAGTTATGGGTTTTTAATGAGGAAGAGATGATGAAACGCTGTCGGTCAAATCTGTGTTTTTTAAGCACATAACATTCAAAATGAGCGCATATTCTTAAAAAGTCCATTTGATATGTTGTACTTGTACTATATTCAATAAAATATAGCACTGGGATGACTAGAAAATCTTGCATTCCCTTTGTACTACTTCACACAGTGTTGCAACTTTTGTGGAAATGGGATCGTAGCGCACTGCTGCTCATATCTGTAGCTTTGCTCTCATACATGTTTCAAAGTGCACGAACGCTGCGATCGGAGCGTCGTAGTGTGTCGGATGTTTTAGTTGAACTAATTCTCTGTAACCTTAACAGGAATGAGTACAAGTTTGTATGAATGAGTCATTATAAACCATATATATTCATCCCATCGGCCATTCTGGGTTTTTTTAATCATTGGAAGCGACTGAAATGCATGAATTGGTACAAAATGTAAACATAATAGCTCCAGCAGGACTACTGTAGCTGTTTTAGGAAACTCCACACGCTTCAGTGTTTGTTTACTAAAAGTGAATTAGGCCGGGAATCCTTGAAGAAGGATGTCTCACGATTCACTGGATGAAGGTATCGACTTGTTTTTGCTCAGTGACAGAATTTGACTGAAACACCATCTGATTAAAGTCGGCTTCTCACAGAAGCTGTCACTTTCAGCGCATTTTAAAATATAAACATTGCTGATATAGAATCTGTGAATGTGAAAATGGGGTAAGCATGATTTGCTTTTTACTCTGTATAAAGGTGCAGTTACTTTACTTTGTGATTTCAAATATAATAATCCACGTCTGCCCTTGCTGTGACGGCAGTGATGCATCCACTCAAGCAGTTTGGGATTAAGATCCTCGCTGATGAGACCCTCAGCAGTAGTTGTTAATGGGATGGGAAGAGCTCTGCCCACTCACCGCTCTCGCTTGTTTTCCCAGCTGGTCCAGGTGACTTTAGTGTTGTTAAGGTTATTTTAAACAACAGTTTCTGAGCACCTCAGCTGCATTATGCTGCAAATAAATTAAAGATTTTAAGGCGAAGCTTTCAGGCTCCCAGCGTCTAAATATTAATGATCACATGCCTGTAAAGGTGATCAACAGAGACACTTGGAAAAAGTCTTTAAATAATGAAACAAGCTAGTGTGTGTTGTTTTCTGCTCGCTGAGCAGAATGTAAAAGGAGCTTTGTTCATAAATGAATACTAAGCAGGGATGAAGAACATGTGTTCCGGCATGAATAGTAATGTTTAGTTTAGATTCAATTATGCTTTCTAATCTCAATTTTTTTTTTAAATCACGTTGTTTTATTTTGAGTGCACTTCTTATTTAATGCATTATATACATTTATCTGAGCATTTTCCTCAATTTCTCAATCTTCTTTCTTTTGCAGATGTGGATGAGTGTGCAGCAGGGATAGCAGTGTGTCCCAGGTTCAGGAAATGTATCAACACCTTTGGTAGCTACATCTGCAAATGCCACGAAGGCTTCGACCTGCAATACATCAACGGAAAATACCAGTGCATAGGTACTGTGGCAGCGCCTCTGTTGTGAGGCTTCGACTGGCAATACTCACACAAAGGTCAAAGATGTGCTGAGGTGGCTTGAATTTAAGCCGAGGTACTTTTAGTGATGCGAGTTTTGTTTTTGAACTGCTTATGAAGGAGCCTGATGAAAAGAAAAGAAACACGCATGCAGAGATGAGTAGCAGAAATCCATGTTTGATACTACAATGTGACAAACTTCTGCTTTGCTTTAGTATTTTAATTTAATGCTCTGATGCGGTTTTCAACCAATCTCTCATTTAACAGGCCCGTTGTGATTTTCTATTTGTAGGTTAATTGGTTGTAAAACAATTAGTTTAAAAAACACGATTCAGTGTAACAACTACATCAGTAGATACTTTGCAAAGGGAAAACAATGCAGTAACAAAAAACAGGAAAATTGCATTTTAAAATGTAACTTGTACAAGCAATTAACCATATCTCACATGGTTATGGAGGAGTCTTGCCTTTGCAACTCTGGATCGTATTTCCGTTGCATCTTTCAGCTTTAGCTGTCAGACAGATGGCCTCACATTTAACTTTAGAATATTTTGATACACAGAGAAGCTCATGGTCGACTCAATGACTGCAAGGTGCATGGATGCAGTAAGTCCATACTTTCTTTTTCACATGACTGTATTTTTCAACTAAAAGAAAAACAGAGATTAAAAAAACTTAGTAATATGGCAATTTAATAAACTTTTAACTTTCAAAAGGTGGATTTTTAATTGTTAGTATCATGCTCATGAATTCTAACCACCAAAAATGTGAAAAACAAATACAGATTAGCTTCTATTGCAATTCCTGTCCTATTTTATCTGCTTTTGAATAAAATTATCAAGTTGATTAGATTAAAGAACGGCCAAGAGCAACTTGGCAGGTGCTCTTTAAACGTATAAAAGACACATCTCTGTATCTTGGGGAGGACTTTTACAACAACCTTCGTGGTGATTTTTCCTCCGGTATTCATAAAAGGTCGACTATTATCCACTTAAACTCTTTCACTAACAGTACGACATAAATTTTGAAGCTTCCTTTAAGTGGATGTGAAGCAATTAGCGTTTGATATTCTGCTTTTACGTTTTAAGCTTTCTGCACTTGCACCCAGGAGCTGAATGTTGTTATGCTTCCATTATCTTTCAGATGTGGATGAGTGCTCTTTAGGTCAAAGCCACTGCAGCAGCTTTGCCACCTGCTACAACACGCCGGGCTCATACAAGTGCAAATGCAAAGACGGCTACAGGGGGATGGGCCACGACTGTAAACGTAAGTCCTGAGAGAACTAATATTCAGTTTAGCAACAAGGAACAGGGCTTCAGGTTTTTTTTTCTTTTTTCTTTGCCTGTGTCTTTAAAAATGTGCTGGGGGGGGGGGGGGGGGAGCAGGGAGAGAGGGAGAAATAGGCTTGCAAGCACAAAGCTTGGACTGAAATTCCTTTCTTTGTAATAGCTGTCAGTCATTACTTGACTCACCCTGCCCCTTTATCGCATGTGCCCAGATTGACTTGGTTTTTTGACATGCGGCTCGGGTAATAAGGACACAAAGAGGAGTCGTCATCATCTGTGATTTGTTGTGATCTGTTAGTTGGTCTCATTCTGCTTACTGACACAGAGTTCATTACAGTGTGCGTCGGCACTTTTTACAGCAGCTCAGTGGACAAAGAGTCATTTATTCTCCACAGTTATTTAACCAATGGACGGGCGCAACTCATGTGGCATTCCACAGAGCAAAGTTGGAACCTGCTGCATATACTTCACCCCACCGTCCTGCCCAAAGGGTGTGAGCCGCAAGTGCTCAGGGAGTCACGTTGCAATATCCTATTCATGTATCACATATCAAAGTCGCCTGCAACCTGAAAAGGCAATAACAGAGTTCAAACCTTTTGCCTTTGTCCACTCTCATTCTTCACTCATGAAATCCTTAGGAAACTGCCACTATCACCCCCTCCAAAAAGAAAAAAAAAAGAAAGCCAACCCCCCAATCTGTGTCTCTGCTCCTGGACAATGTGTGCAGCCACAAAGGAAAAGGCGGTGTAGCTTTGATGACATGAGCGAGGGTGATCTTCGGGGCACAGCAGCCTGACTTAGTGCAGAAATCATTCCATACACTTCAAGCAGCTCTAGACTTGTGCTGCGAAGCCTCTGGCTATGAGCATACAAAGAATTACTAATCAAGATGACCGCACGGACAGATAAAAAAGACATGATAAGAAAGCAAGATCGATTTTCAAAGAGCAGGAGTTCACTGAACGTGGGCTGTCTTAATGGTTCAGCTTGTGAAGTCCTGTAACTGTGAGTGAATGTGAACTTATGAGCTTCGTTTGCAGCTGTGAGCTTTTGCTTTCAGTGTGATTGGAGACACCCAATTTGTTTTAGAGTGCTAACATTTAGGTAATGGTTATCAGAAGTCTCAGTAGATGAAGTAAAGCCCTCTTCTTCAAAAAAGTGAGGCTAATAATTGCAGTTAGTCTGCAAATGTATGCCTCATTAACTCTTAAGTGCTCATATTTCAGTGCTCCATCTGCATTTTCTCATTATTTCAGCCATCCCTAAAGTGGTTATTGACCCCCCGAGACCAGGCAAAGTGCCTCCAAATCATCACAACCACATCCCAGACTTGGATCAGCAGAGGACCACCACCACTCGCCCACCAGTCACTCCAAAGATCATCTTCCCTAAATTGCCGCCAACCGCTACAACTACAACCAAGGCACCCCGCCCGAGGGTGACCCCATCGCAACACAAGCCGTTGGTCCCCACCCGAAAGCCCTTCATACCCACCCGAAAGCCCTTCATACCCACCCGAAAGCCACCGGTACCCACTCGCAAACCCTACATTCCAAGGCCAGCAGTTCCCACCAGACCACCCTTGCCACTGCCACCGGTCACACCAGTGGACAATACCATCCAGAAGGAGGTCACCAAGCAGAGAGGGGATGTTCACAGTAAGAGGCTTCTTGCTTTACTACGGTGTTGTTTTGTTTCAACAGGTGATTTAAAGCCATTGTGACAGCTTCCTCCCCTTTTCAGAAACATACTTACAACTCAAAGCTTTTGAGTCATAAGTATAGATATTGTTTTTTCTTAAGTAAATACACATGAAATATTAAATAAGCACAACAGTTTGATGTGCTTCCTCCAGATGTTTACCGGAGGAAGCCGTAAGCACAAAATTTACATTTTTACCTCGTACAGTTGTTAGCAGGCAGCTGTTTGTTTACACATCTGGCACACAAAGAACAACATCAGTATTAACTTTAAGTGTGTTTTTCTTTTTATCTGGCAAACAAGTTCAATGCTCCCAAAATGAAGAAGACATCTGCTTATTAAAATGTCCCCTTTTACACTTCACTATCCAAACATAGTCATAAAACGATTGATGTTGTGTTGTGTGAGGGACACTTTCATCAGGAAATCATGTGACATAAGACATATTTAGATCCAACTGTAGAGTCTTATAAGGTGTTTCTTTGTCTGTTCCACATGCGTCCACTAATCTGTTTTGATGTATATAAGAAAAAAAATCTGGCTCCTGAGCTGCTAAATGCTCTGCAATGTTCAGCAGCGAGCTGCTATTTTGAGTGATTGCTGCTTGTTGCAGGGCAGGTAGTGTACAATGAGTGTTTACAGCTTTTTCACTGAGAACAGCTGCTGTGTCTGGAAAACAAGGCTGACTAGAGGCAGTAAAAGTGAACCAGAACAGTAAAGCTGTGGGCTGCAGAACAAAAACAATGAGCTTAAACACTCCATACAGGTGATGCAGTCTTTCACATAGCAGCTATAGAACTACACGTTGTTCTTATAAATGTATTTTTTGGGGGGATGGAACAGCTTTAACTGCTCTGAACATGTAGGAAAGCCTTGTTTGTTACCTTGGGGTTGTGGCTCAGGACAATTCAACGTGTTCTCCTGCAATTGTAAGGTCAGTGGTTTGATGCCCGGGTTCCTCCTGTCTGTATATTAAAGCACCCTTGGTCAAGATGAGCATTAATCAGTATGTGAGTGCATGAATGTGAGACATGGGGCTCAGACACAGAATAAAGCTCTGTGTGAATATATTGTGTATGATTGGGTACTCTTGTAATGAAAAGTGCTGTGAGTGCTCAGTTCAGAACAGCGCTCTATAAGCACCTGTGCATTTACATTTACAGCTTCAGCTTTGTGATTATGAAATGAACCCTGTTTTCTTTTGGTTTCCTTATAGCTGAACTGTTCATTTACACCATGGGTCTTAATGACATCTGCATGAATTATCTTTTAATTTGTATCACATTTGCTACATCTGGTGTGTGTTTTTTTAATTTAATTAGTTTTAGTTTTTGCAGTGTATTGTTTAAAAATGTACTGTGCAATTTATTTATTTTTTTCAGGGGGGAAAATTACACTGATGATGTAGATGTCTCAAAAACTCAAAACTCTAAAACAAAAACTCACGTATCAAATGCGATCCACTTGGCATTAAGGGGTTAAGTTGTTGCATTCGCACATGGAGATTTCATATATTACCATAAACAGCAGCTGGCAGCTGGTGTATAAAGTTCATCTTCCAGCTAACAACATGACAGTTCAGATATGTCAGCAAATTTGAATCTCAAAGTTTCCATTTGCAAAGTCTTCAAAATGGTTCAACTCAAAACTCAGAGGTCACTTTCAAGACCAGTTAAGATACACTGGAGCGGGAGTTTGTTACCCACTGTTTCCCCCCTTCCCACATTTTGGACAATGTGCCATATTTTGACTAGTTCTGCGGGACATGCACTTTTACGCAGTCTGTATGAAGAAAACACTTATTATTATAGTCAGAAGAAGAAGGTAAAGTTAAAAGTCCCCAAAAAGTCACAAACTTTGTAGATTTTCTTGAATATCACAGAAGCTGCTGCAAAAAAGGCTGTTTTGTCTGTTTTTGTTAAAGGTATTTTGCCATTTCCCACAGGTGGAAGATATGTTGTGAGGTGACGCAGGGTGTGTGGGTCATAATTGGATAAAAATTGCTTAAAGTGTCATCCTATCTATAGATACATCCAAACAGAAGAGCTGCTGAAATAACAGTGAAATAAAAGAGAACACAGGAGTATATAAAGACTATTGCACGAGTCTATAAGAACAAACTGAAGCTTCCTTTTATGATCACTGTATATTTGTCCTGTATTTGCTAAATGACAACCCGGTGACCTGCGCAGTTTAGTGTATTTTTAGTTTAAAATTGGATATGAACATTTCAGAAAACCTCTCAGTGTTGTTGACGTGTCCCACTTTGTCCCACACAAACACAGTGTTTGCTCCACATTCACTTTATTGGGATCTGGTCACCTTAATGTGTTTTCCAGCTAGCCTGTAGTGGCAGCCAGTTTTCAGTTTTAAAGAAATCCCCTGCCTCATCTTCAACAGTCAAACTACATGCCACTTGCTTTTTTTCTTGAGTAAACAGTTTATAATTTCTGGGAAAAGAAGATCGATAAAACGCACTACACACCAGAGGTAAAATATGTAAATTTGATTCTGGCACGAACGCTCCCTTTAAGTCTCCTATATAGGCGAATTCACAGTGATTTCCATTTGAATAGAGCTACACCCACCTTCAAAATGCAGCTATTGTATGGAAATAATGTCCAATTTTTTTTGCAAGAAAATGAAGTATTATGAGCTCAGTGTCACAAAGCTGTACAGTGAGAGAAGGAATGTCTTTCTCTTCTCAAGGTAATTATCTTTTTGGCTTCAAGTGACAAACACAAACTTAGCCAGACCGTTTGTTATTCACATGTCACGTAGTGCTCTCGGCCAAGCATCAAACTCTGACACCAATTACCTTCAAAATGAATCACATTCTCAATCAAACCAAATAACAGAATGAATTATAAATAATGTTAGGTGGTAAGACTGCTTTTTTTTTGGCTTTAACAAAGGAGCTAATCAGGCCAATCGTGTGCTGCACCTTTTCAGAACTGTGAATTGTTTCTTAATGAGAAAACTCGCCCACTGTTAAGTCTGAAATATGCAGTTCAGGGCTGAAATCACGATCCTCGTTTTTATGTAACAGATGAAACGGGCGGTTTTCTCTCTCGAGCTAAACAGTCACCATTTACGTGATAGGGCTGGTTGGAATTTTGTATTTTGTTGACAGTGCTCAGTAAATCCAACGATAAGACAAAAAAAGCAGCAACGAGTTGATCCCACTAACAAATACTGTCTGTGTATCAAAGACCCGATAAAGCTTATTTCCAAGAAGTGTCTCTCTTTTGGCGTTTTGCTTGCTTGTAGCCACAGCAAATTACAGTGTTTACTGAAAACTCAGCATTAAGCTGTTCTCCCTCAAAAATATGTATGCCGAGAAACTAAGTACAGAATAAGAGGTGAGATACTGTGGTTCCTATTCACCTTGCCAGATGGCATCACATAATTAGAAAAAGGGAAGAGGAGAGAAGATTACCTTAACACCTGTCTGCCCTGCTTGAGGGAGACATCAATCTAATAGTCCGCACTACGGCAGAGCAGCTCTAGAAATCAGAGCTTGCCGAGGATGGCTTGAATCAGATGAGAGAGAGAGGGAAGGAGGGGAGGAGAGACATCACTGAGTGATTATTCAAATAATTAGACGGAAATAGGGATGAAAATGAAGAAGAGCCCTGTGGCGTGAAGAATACTTCAGCTGCTTCTCGAGTGCAGGTGTGCGTTTCAGTTGGAACTAATTCAAAGGTTTTCACAGATTCCTTTGGGTCTTGACCCGTGAAGTGAGCGGAACCCGTTTTTGAAAACCTCGTCTCTATAACCTTTTAATCATTAAGGAAAAATGTGAAAGCTGTGATCACCTCACAGTAAGATAAGGAGCAGAGGCTGAGATGAAGAGATACGCTTATCTGAATTGTGCATTTTTGTTATCGACGTGTGTTAGAAGCGGAATGTAAAAGAAAAAAAGTGTCTTTGGTTTTTACTACAACGACAGCTTGTCCTGCGTAGCATCTCTGCTGTTTGCTTGGCAAAACACCATGAAGTCGGCTTCCAGCCAAATAATGATGATAATGCTACACAAATGCCTATAAAACAACAAATTGTTATGACTCTGTCTGGATAAGGTTTAAAGACATAGTGCCAGAACTGCCAATTAGTAAGCTTTTGAAATGCTAATAGTCACATTTGTTTAACTACAGAGAGAGGCAGGCTAGCTGTGTCTCGCTGCTTCCCCCTCTTCATGTTAATGTTGTTGCCTGCCACTTCTACCTCCATCGAAGTCAGCAAGAACTCCAATAAACATATTTTGCAGAATATAAACATGCCGTGAATTGTGTCAGGAATTCTTGTAAATTAGGCTTAAATAAGGCTCTTAATCTCTGAATGCAAGCTGCAGAGATGTGAGGCTTTCACTGAGCGACAGTGATGGATGGATGATGAAGTGCGATGTTTAACCTGCCGGTTAAAAGATGCAGCTACACGGTGTCTAGAAAGGAATAAGTACACTGCACTTGTCTCTAAACCTTAAACTCTTTCTTTCTTTACTTTTTGCTCGGCAATTGGGCAGAATGTAGAATATCAACTCTGCAGCTTTTACTACCAAATAACTGGCTTGAAACACACACACACACACACACACAAACACGCACACACACACAAGGTCAAGAGTCAAACATCACAGCATATTTCAAATTATTGTTTACATGTTTTTCTCCTCCCTCTACCCCACATTACAAAGACATCCTTAGTTGTTAGATAGATAGATAGATAGATAGATAGATAGATAGATAGATAGATAGATAGATAGATAGATAGATAGATAGATAGATAGATAGATAGATAGATAGATA